ATTCAAGTGATATAGCAAATGCATGATCATAAAACTAACCTCAAACTAAATATTTGATATTACTTGGAGACTTATACCTCCCTTGCCAATCATACAACAACAACAATAACATCAAGCCTTTATCCCACTATGTGGGATCAGCTACATGAATCTTTTTTCTCCATTGTGTCCTGGTAAGAGTTAAATTCTAATTAAAATCCAATAAAGAAAGTTCATTTCTAATATTTTCTAACCAAGTCTTTTTAGAGTTGCCTCTATCTTTCTTAGCATAAGTCAAATCTAATACATCTACTTTCCAAACTAAGTCATTGGAAGGCCGGCGTTTTGTGTGACCAAACCATTAAGGCGACTCTCTTTAATCTTATCATCCGCTGGACTGTTGGAGCTACTCCAACCTTTTCACTTATATGCTCATTTCATATCATGTCTCTAAGAGTAAAGCCACTCATCCACCTGAGCATTTCATCTATGTAAACACTTAACTTAATGTTATATTTTTCTTTTAATGGACAACATTTTGCACCATAAAGCATTACAGGTCTCACCACCATCTTATAAAATTTTCCCTTAAGTTTGAGGGAAACTTTTCCATCACACAACAAACCCGATGCATTCCTCCACTTCAACCATCACACTTGTACTAATAAGTCCCATCTATTTCACCATCACTCTAAACAATAGACACAAGATATCGAAAATGTGTACTCATATTAATGACTTGATCACCATAAGTCACAATCCATCCACTAGATTTATTATTACAAAAATTGCACTATATATATTCAGTTTTAGATCTACTCAAACGAAAGCCTTTAGACTCTAAGGTTAACTCCATAATTCAATTTTACCTTCAACTCTCTCTCTCTAGTCTTATCAACAAAAACGACATCATCAGCAAAAAGCATACACCAGAGTACAACCTCTTGCAAATGTCTAGAACATCCATGACTAAAGCAAAAAATATATGGGCTTAAGGCTAATCCTTGATGTAATCCAACTGAAATAGGAAAATACTTGATCAAACCACCTTATATTTGAACGCAAGTAATAGCTCCTGCATATATATCCTTAATGACTTGAATATAAGCATTATTAACCCATTTCTTTTCTAGATCTCTCTATAAGCACTTCTCTTGGAATTTTATCACATGCTTTCTCTATATCAATAAATATCATATGTAGATCCTCCTTGTTCTCTCTACACTTCTCCATCAAACCTCTCAATAAATGTATAGCTTCCATAGTAGACCTATCCGACATGAATCCAAATTGAATTGAGAAACATTAGTATCACACTGCAACCTATGCTCCATAACTCTCCCATAGTTTTAAAGTATGACACAATAATTTAATTCCTCTATAATTCGCATAATCTTATGCATCACCTTTATTCTTAAAAATAGGAATCAACACACTAATTCTCCACTCACCTGTTATCTTTTTAGTTTTCAAAGTAATATTAAAAAATTTAATAAGCCAAGAAATTACTTCATCTCCAAAGCATTTTCACACCTCTATTGAAATATCATCAAGTCCAACAGCTTTTCTACACTTCTTTATCTAAAAAGCTTCTCTAAATTCAATTTTACTAATACGCTGATAATAGCAAAAATCTTCCCTTTCATTTAGGGAGCTAAAATTACTAAAGTCAATTGCATACTCATAATCTTCATTAAAAATTTTAGAAAAAAAAAATCACATCCACCTTTGTTGCATATCCTCTTCTAATAAAAGCACTTTTTATCATCATCTTTAATACACTTCATTTGAACTAAATCCTTACTACTCTTATCTCATTGTTTAGTGATGTAGACAAAAGGGGGGTCAACTCATGTCCAAAATAATATGAATTTTGGCTTCTCTTGAGTCTACAAGCTCAATCAAAATTGAGCTGAAATTTTAGCTCATTTATGAGCTGGTCTTTAGTTCACTTATTGAACTAAGTGTTAGCTCATTATTAGCTAACATTTTAGTTTATATTTATCTTTTATTAAATGTACTTTTTATGCTTTTTATGTTTTTCATTATAGTTGTCTCTTGGAATTCCAAATAGGCTTTTGGAATTCCAAGATTTGCTTTTTCCCATATGTGGCTCCTTGGCTTCCACCATTGGGCTGCTGTTTTCCATGCCTTGCCTCTTGGATTTCCGGCCGGCTGCTGGTTTTCTGCGCCTGGGCTCTTTCCCGTGGCTGTGGCTCCTCGGTTCCGTGCGGCTTCCTTGTCTTCCGCGGCTGCTGCTTCGGTTCCTTGGCTTGGGCTGTTTTTCCGTGAAAAGCATTTGGGTTTAATGCTTGTGATGTTTAGGTTCTTGTGATAATTAATGTTATGTGTCTTTTGATATTCCCTTTCATACCTATATATATGGGGGATTTGTAATGTTTGAAAGTTAAGTAAATATTATGTGATTTTTGGAATCTAACCTGTGGGTTATTGGAAAAGCTTGCGAGCTTTGTCCGTCTTCTCTCTCATCCTCTCCGAAAATCTTGCGAGCTCTTTCCAACCTTTCGTCTCGGCTTCTAACCTCTTTCGTCTCTCCGCAAGTGTCATTCCACCTGTATCCCTCTTCTCTAAGTGAAGCAATTTTAGGGTGTCTTGTTTGAGTTGTAAGTGTCCAAGTTTGTAAGTTTTTATTTCTAAGTTTATGTCAAATTTGAAATGTAAGAGTTTGTTCTTTGTTCTCTCATCTCTAAGTTCTCTCCTCTTCTTTTTAAGGTTTTTTGTGTCTTCTTTTATATAGGAAGTTTATTTTTACTTGTGATCCAAAAAATATAGGGGTAAAAATATAGGCACCCCTATATTTTTTGCCCGCATCATTTGGTATCAGAGCAAGTTAGGAAGTCCTAGGTTGTGTTTGTCAAGTTGTAGTTTGTCAAATCTTATTTGTCAAGTCAAGGTGTATTGAGAGTCTATTGAGTCTAAGTGCTTAGGTTGTGAGTCTTATAATCTTTTGAATCTTTTTGAGTCGGTCAACGAGGAAATAAATTCAAACAATCCTGATGTCCCACTCCCGTTGGACAGATGGATTCCTACAGAAGGCGATTCTACTAATCTGCTTCAAGACCGTTTATACAAGCTTCAGTATCACATGTCCTTTGTGATCAAAAATTCGAGAAGCGAAAAAGATATCTACAACGACAATTCGAGAAGGAACAGGAAGAAATTTTAAAGAAGTTTGTTGAGAAACTCAAAGAGCTGGATGAACAGTATGCACCTCCTCAAGAGAACCAACAGCTAACTCATCGGGAGATGAGTTCTCAAGAAGGAGTCTTATGTAGACAAAAGGGGGGTCAACTCATGTCTAAAATAATATGAATTTTGGCTTCTCTTGAGTCTACTAGCTCAATCAAAATTGAGCTGAAATTTTAGCTCATTTATGAGCTGGTCTTTAGTTCACTTATTGAACTAAGGGTTAGCTCATTATTAGCTAACATTTTAGTTCATATTTATCTTTTATTAAATGTACTTTTTATGATTTTTATATTTTTCATTATAATTGTCTCTTGAAATTCCAAACCGACTTTTGAAATTCCAAGATTTGCTTTTTCCCATGACTCCTTGGCTTCCACCATTGGGCTGCTGTTTTCTGTGCCTTGCCTCTTGGATTTCCGGCCAGCTGCTGGTTTTCCGCGCCTGGGCTCTTTCCCGTGGCTGTGGCTCCTCAGTTCCGTGCGGCTTCCTTGTCTTCCGCGACTGGTGCTTCGGTTCCTTGGCTTGGGCTGTTTTTCCGTGAAAAGTATTTGGGTTTAATGCTTGTGATGTTTAGGTTCTTGTGATAATTAATGTTATGTGTCTTTTGATATTCCCTTTTATACCTATATATATGGGGGATTTGTAATGTTTGAAAGTTAAGTGAATATTATGTGATTTTTGGAATCTAACATGCGGGTTATTGGAAAAGCTTGCGAGCTTTGTCCGTCTTCTTTCTCATCCCCTCCGGAAATCTTGCGAGCTCTTTCCAACCTTTCGTCTCGGCTTCTAACCTCTTTCGTCTCTCCGCAAGTGCCATTCCACCTGTATCCCTCTTCTCTAAGTGAAGCAATTTTAGGGGTGTCTTGTTTGAGTTGTAAGTGTCCAAGTTTGTAAGTTTTTATTTCTAAGTTTATGTCAAATTTGAAATATAAGAGTTTGTTCTTTGTTCTCTCATCTCTAAGTTCTCTCCTCTTCTTTTTAAGGTTTTTTGTGTCTTCTTTTATATAGGAAGAGTCTATTTTTCTTTTTGTGATAAAAAATATAGGCTCCCCTATATTTTTTGACCGCATCATTTAGTTAACTTATACATATATCTTTCGCCCTTCTTAATATCTAATTTATTATACAAATCATTAAAAGCTAAAATCTTTGCATCGCATATTACTTTCTTAGACTCCTTACTGACATCTTTATATCTTTCTCAATTATCAAAAAATTTACATTTAAATCAATCTTTACAATAAATTTTCTTTTTTTTTTATTTTTATTTTTTCTTGCACATTTTGATTCCAACACCAACTATTTTTACTATTATGAGTTTTTCCTTTTCCAAGCACATCTTTTGCAATATAATTAATATCACTAACTACTTTTTTCCACATAACATTAACTTCCTCATGCACAGACAAAATCTTAAGATCTAATATCTTATTCTCAAAAATAATTTTGTTAATATTATTTAACAACCCTCATTTAATCCTAGAACAATGTTTAACTTTATTTTTTATTTTATGTTCATTCATCTTAAAGTCCAAAATTAATAAGCGATGTTTGGTACATAAAATTACACTCGGAATAAATTTACAATATTTGCAATCAAAACGATTTATTTTTCTTATAAGAAAATAATAAATCTAAGTTTTACTATGTCCATTCCCCAGCCAATCATAACACCATTAAATTTTTTATCGTTTTAATCATTTTACAAGCACAAATACAATGTATCTAATGCATTCACCATTTAATCATCTCTCTTTCAGCAATTAAAAATTCATCTAAAGGTAATAAATATTGTAGTTTATTATTTTTACCTTTACTTCTGCTGTATGTGTAGCAAGCAGCAAAACCACCAGCCCCAGCATGCAGATCAGCCTCAGCTGCTCTCCCAACAATTCCAGCTGCTGCACTGATGCCAGCACCTAGTGAAATATGAGCATTGCCACTGAAGTTCTTAACAGCATCTTTTGTTTTAAGAACAATAATAAAATCAGTCAACTCCCCACCAGCCTGTAGAAATTAAATTTTAATAAGCACGTAAAACAAGTCAAATTCATAAGAGGTGCTCGTCACTTGGCCAGTACGATGCTTGCCTGTGCTCCCCACCCAATGCCAAAGGTAGAAATAGCTGATGGCGGTGACCAGGAACCATCATCACGACGAGCAATTACCAACCCAGTCCCAACATTATATGTAACCATCATCCCAACCTTTGCAACAGTTAGTATGGCAAGGCCTTTCGCTTGTCTAAGAATGGCAACAGGAATGGACTTTTCCGGTTTCAAAGAACCCACCTGAACAATTATTCAACTATAGCATAAATCTCATCTTAAACACTTATTAAAAATTTAATAAAAGGGCAAAGAGAAGCATTCATATTCACAAGAAGAACTAATAATTTGCTTCTATCATTTTCAATTAAAAATCCTGAGGTGACCCAAAAGAAAAGTTATATAAATTAAAGGAACAAAAATCTTGATCATGTTAGCCAGCTAATGTGCTCCCGAAGCCATTTTTGAAGAGCAACGTCTAGTAGGCAAAGACAAGACCACAAAAGGCCAACCACCGGTCCACCACATAGGCCAAGGAAGTTCACCGATCGCTTACATACAATCCTTTTAACACTAACTGGATCAAAACACTAGAACTATTATTCAGCAAGCAACTTCTTAACAGCTAGGCAACTAGGAGATTAGCAAAAAGAAAAACTTTAAAAGATAAAATTTTAAAAATACAATATATAGCTTCAAAATAATTACCTTATTGTAATCACGAACTGTATTAGCTGCCTTATAGATCTCATACTCCATGGACTGGCACCATGGAAAGTTCAACCATGATCGTAATGTGCTGAGATCTGTGAGATCATGAGTTGGCAACTGTGATGCCCGGCTAACTTGATCCATAAGATAAGGCTGAACAAATTCTAGACGCACAGAGCAGACATCACAAACCCTTTGGGGGTCCCAAATCCGGAATTTAGAGGGAAGCAAACACCTACCCTTCGAACATTCATTACAAAATATCCCACCACAGAAACGGCAGTGATGTCGAGAACACATAATCGGATGAAATTTCACATTACAAAGCATACAGGCTGCTGCCGCACTATCAGCTAGCCACATAGGTGGCTCTGCATCAAGAATTTCCTTAGCATTTCCAAAGCTAGCCTCTGTAAGAGTATGTGCCATCTCATTCCACGCATGCTCCAATAGTTCATTTGGGATCCAAGGCAATTTACTGCTTCGTAACTCACCCATAGATAGGGAAGCCACCTTTACTCGGCTAGCAAGCAGAATCTCTGACACAACATCCCACATAGTCATCTCCTTGTGTTCCCCAGCAAGCTGAGACCAAGTAATATCCCCATCAGGAAAATATGCCCCATTGGTCAAGAAACCTTGGCTGAATTCCTCGTGATCACTAGCTGACATGGGTGGTATCGAAACAGGAATCCAAACACCAGTATCCTCGTTATATGGTGTATCATAGTAGAAATATCTACCTAACTTCCGGTTTTCGGAAGCATTGGTGGCGTGGTTAAAGCACTCTGGAGCATGGTTGTTTTGTCGGGTAGAAGGATAATCAATTAAAGGAAGAAAACCATTATTCTCATCACTTTCGCTGAATGAATTATCATATTCTTTCTGCAACCGAGCGCCCTGTATTTGAATTTCATGTGGTCAAGAACAAATGCAAAAAAAATGTTAGACATTATATCAAAATATTTAAAGATGTTATTAGTTCGATATTGATGTTGCTCAAAGAGCATTTTTGACACCAAAAAACAGTGCTGCACACAGTATCTAATCATCAAATCGTAAATCACAAATAGACAATTAAAAAGGAAAATACTGAAACAAATAAATAGTTAAATAGAAACAAATCCATATTTTTTTCATCATAAAAAAAAAGCAACTAGAGATGGAGAAAAGAAAATTCGAAATTTACTACAGCTACCGTGCAAATATGAAGTTCACCCCAAAGAACACCACAAGCTCTAATTCTTGCAATTGTCATGGTACATAAAAAATACAAATCAATAAGCACAGTGACAATGATAATCCCTTCATTCAAAAAATTGATAAACCCCAGGTGAAAAACTCACTAATCTCCACAGAGTTGCAAACAAAACAAATAACAAGCAAAAGATAAAGCAAATAAGAGATCGCTGAAGTACAACAATAAACGGAACATATAAGCAAACCTTATTATCGTCATCGAGGACAGTAGAAACCCTAGACACGTATTCTGCCACAGGCGTTGCCGATTCCTTCTGCTTCAAATCCAGGACTTCGATCTCAGGGTATAGCTTGTTCATATCTGCCATCAGATTATTGATCTCGACGGCGAAAATCGGATATAGAGGCGTTGGACGTTTCCTGCTTCGACGAATACTTTGCAGCCGCTTAGAAAATCTACAAGAAATTGGTAACTTCTTCACCTCCAACAAGGAAAGATGAGGAAGAGGAAGAGGAAGAGGAAGGGTGCCCACTTTGCTCACCGAAGGATTTTTGGTCGAACAAGCTATAGCTTTCAATAATTTATCGTTTTTTTTTTAAACCCGCAAATTTATTCTATTAGAAAGTATCCAACTCAATTAGATCAAATAATATACATCAAACATTTAATTCATAACAAAATAAAGGTGAAAACTTTATGTAAATTGTGCCATGTTTGAAAGTCATTGGTATTGGAATCTTTTATCCTTCTATACTATATAATATAAGTGATATTTGATATTCCTCTTCTTAATAATAAGTTTCTCAAAATCTGATCAGACAATGAACCAGAAAAATTTGTGATTCTCGAATCGATCAAATTAGAGTCGATTTATAAATAATATCATTTAATAATTATATATTTATAGGAATAATATTTAATATAATATATAAATTTACATTCTAAACTATTTGTAGCCAAACTAAGCTCAAATTTATAGCCCAACTAATCTCAAATTCACATTATAAACTATTAATGCAACATTTTTAGTCCCACATCATATGAGGAGTTTGAGATAGTTATATTTAACCCTTTATATAGTGTGAAATACATACTTTTTACATTATGTGAGGTATTTGAAATAGCATGTATGTATTATGTTGTAATTAATCATCATATTTAGGGTTGAGTTCTCAAGCAAACTTATTTCTTTACAGAAGTTTGGTTTATGGTGGAGTATGGCAACAAATACAGAAAGAAGTAGAATATACATATTTTAAGTGGTTTAGTGTTGCTGTCTTTGTCCATTATAAGGAAAGAGGCTTCTTAGAGGAAAGGAATTGAAAAAGAAGCAAGGCTTGCGTAATTGTTTTTGTGATGATAATTTAACTTTAGCTTAGGTTTCTTTCGGGACTATTTTTTATTGGTTCTTAAAGTTATTTTTTAGTACAAAAATTAAAATTTTTATACGAAAAAGTCGTTTTAAGAAGCAGTAAGACAGCCGTCCCAAACGAAGCCTTAATCTCTCTATAGATATGAAGGTAAAAACTTCTTCTCTACCATGTACAAGTTTAAATTTGAGATCGGTTCAGGAGGTTTCTTATATTTTTGCTTATGAAGTTTAAGTTTTCAAAATTCTTTAATGTGATTTATGCATTTTTGTTTTATTTGTTGTTGCAACTTGCATATATGTTTTATAGCTTAGATCAATATGTTTATTCTTAGATCAACCTTTTATTTCACAGACCTACAACTTTTTTGTGAGATATACAATATTTTGGTGAGTTCATGTTAAAACATAAGTTATATGGAGATCGATTGTTTTGTTGGCTAAAAAATAAATATTGTGTAAAAAGAATGAAATGTAAAATGAATGCAGTGTAAAATGAATACTTTGAAGTTATTTAGATGAATGTAAAGTAAATGCAAGTGAATGATTCTTTTTTCTAAATAATGAATGTAATGTAATGTCCAAAAATGATGGCAGTCGGTGGGTGAGGTGGTGGTGGTGGCTAGTGATGGGTGGTGGCGGATGGTATTGGCTGTTAGTGTGGTTGGCTAGTGGCGACTGTGGGGGCAGTGGTCAAGCGAGTTTTCTTGTGGTGTAAATCGTAAATGGTTCTCGCTCAAAACTGGACGAGTTTAGTTTAATTCAAAAATGAACTAAAATAATTTGCAATAAATTTACTTTTTTACTTTGCTCTACTTTGTATTCAATCAAACACCAAAATTTTAAAATTTTTTGTATTTGAAATACTTTACACCACTTTGTATTCCAATCAAGTTGCCCCCATAATGTAAAATATATTTATTTTTTAGTATTTTTAGTATTTTTAATAAACCAAATAGCCAGTTCTTATCGATACTGTATTAGTCGAGGTTTGGACCATCGAGTCAATGGCAATATGCTTCACTTCTACTTTGCATGGATGATTCATGTCTTAAAGTAAAAAAAAATAAAAATAAAAAATCCAGCTCGGGATTCCAATTCGCATTTCAAAAAGGAGGCGGTGTACAGATCTAATTCTAACTCGGCACGGAGAACGGTAGGTTGGTCTTTAGATCTGATAGAATGCATCTCTTTCTTTTCATTTCAAGGTTGAGCATGTTGACATGAGGAATCATCAGCTTGCAAAATGAAATCTCCTCCATTACCTGCGGTCAAGAAGTTGTAATCTGCCAAAACTTAGGTGGAGATATGGTTAAGCATTGTGGAGTGTTCCTTCTTTTTCTAGCTATTGGATTCGTTTTTCAGTCCGTTAAGACGCGTCTCCCTCCGGAAGAGAGTAAACCATTTATCTTTTTCTCTTAGTTTGATTATTGAGATTATTGTCCTCATTCCAACTGTTTGTAGTAATTGGAGATTTATTCTTTGAACTTGACCTTAATGCTGCACTCAAAACCAGTTGTTTGAGATTTAGTTTTAGTGTATTATTTTGGATCCTTATTCTCTAATGAGAGTTGTTTCTTTTAATTGATCAGTTGAAGCCCTCAAAAGCATCGCTAGGGCATTAAATAAAACCAGTTGGGATTTTAGTGTGGATCCGTGTAGCCAAGAATTGAGTTGGGTCACTCCTAATGCTCTTGTTGGATTTGAAAACAGCGTATGGTGCAATAACTGCTCTGATGATGGAAGTGTTTGCCATGTGACAAGCATGTAAGGTCTCGTGTGTTAAGTGCAAGCAATGAATCAAGTATATGGGTGGTTTATCTCATTTGATCTAATTATTATTTGCAGAGTCCTCAAGTCTCAGAACCTTGTGGGAAGGCTCCCACCAGAAATGGCAAAGCTTCCATTCCTCCAAGAAATGTATGCCACCGAATAAGTTTAGGGTTTAGGATCCGACGAATATTGATTTTGGCTGTTTGATTAATGAGAAAATCAAAATTTGACAGTGACCTCACCCGCAACTATATCTATGGATCAATTCCAAAAGAGTGGGCTGTTCTGCCACTTGTGAATTTGTAGGTTGCTTCGTGATTGCTTAGCTTGAAAATGCACATGGATTGGGAGCTTCACAAAGTTTTTGTAACAATTTGAATTTGTGTTAGTGTAGTTCTCTTCTTGGCAATCGAATCTCAGGGCAAATCCCTTCATGGATTGGGAACTTCACAAACCTTAGAAATCTGTGGGCTAATATCCCTCCTCTTTTTTTTCTTTACGTCTTTCATTTTTCAATTCTTTAGAGAAGGTTATTACTTCGTCAGTACTAATTTCTCCCACCGCCTCTCTTAATTTGCTCCATAGGGTGCTAGAAGAAAATCAACTTATGGGTTCTCTTCCAGAGCAGCTTGGGCATCTCAACAGCTTAGAGCTATTGTGAGTTTCTTTTTAACCTTTTTCCTCCCTTTCTCCTGTTTATTGTTTCAAAGATGCAGTTACTTGTTCCCTTTATACACTTATTTTTTCTGGTTTTGCAGTCAATTATCGTCGAACTTTTTGTCTGGCGAGCTGCCGGATACATTTACTAATTTAACCAATTTACAATACTTGTAAGTGTTTGGTGATTCCTTATGTGGATTTGCATCATTTATTCATAGAAGCTGATTTTTAATTATACAGTCGTGGTGCAGTTTGATTCGCAGCAACAACTTCAATGGAAAGATACCACAGTTTATCCAGAACTGGACACAGCTTCTAAGACTGTGAGCATTAGGGCCTCCTGAAACTTACTTTTTTCTGCTTTCATGGCTTCCTTTTTTTTATGATGAATAATTCTAGTTTTGAATTCTAACATACAAATTTATTAATTGTAGAGACCTTCAAGCAAGTGGTCTTCAAGGGCCCATTCCTTCAGGAATTTCTCGTTTGAAGAAATTGGATGACTTGTATGCAAAAACTTCTATTATTAATTTTTGTATCAACTACCTTCTATCAGATTATCCCAGAAGGAAATGTTGCCAAGTTTCATGTGAATCTTTTTTGTTGGCAGGCGAATCAGTGACATAGTTGGTAACTCTGGCTTTCCACAGTTGCAAGGTATTGAACAACTGCAATATCTGTAAGTTTGATGCTCTTCCTTCTGTTGCAGTTTATGTGCCTCTCAATGATATTTATTGGTATTGAGGGTCAGTACATTGATTTACATTGATTTCTTGTCTAGGACATTAAGGAATTGTGGTATATCCGGAGTGATCCCCAAATTTATGGACAATTTTGTAAATCTCAAACGGCTGTAAGTAAAAAATCCTTAAATTTGGTACAATTTGTCTTAGATGCTTCACTTTCTCTTGATCAAACACATAAGAATTGGACGCGATTTCATCATGTATGAGTGTCTCTTAGAAAACTAAATTTCATTCTCATTAATTTTTAGGTTTTGGTGCTAATCAAATAAAGGGCCAAACTTTTACTTTGAATAACTTGAAAGGTTAATTTGTTTTAAATGAAAACTATGTCTTTTTTAGTGAGCATCAGATAAGCTATTTTAGTTTTTCATACTAACTCTTGCATATGAAGGCAACATTATAGTAGATACTCCCTTCTTCTAGAATACAAACTAAAATATGTTTTAAATGTGGGCTCTGAAAATTCTTGCCCTGGCCTCTCCTCACCTTTTTATTGATAGAGGATAGTTTTCACATATGATATTCTAGGATAAATTTTAAGTAGATAATCTAGATTTAAGATAAGACATTAGGATTAGATGGGGGAATTTAAAGAATATTAACAAAAATATTTTTGAGAGTAAGATTTTAGATCTTAAAATTTTATCTGTTCATGAGGATGCTAATGTTATGTGGGAAAAGTAGCTAGTGATATTAAGAATATTGCAAAAGATGTGCTTGGAGTACCAAAGAGAAAAACTCATAATAGTAAAAATAGTTGGTGGTGGAATCCAAATGTGCAAGAAAAGATTAATAATAAGAAGATTTGTTATAAAAATTGGTTTAATTTTAAAAATTCAGATAATTGGGATAGATATAAAGAGGCTCGTAAGGAATCTAAGAAAGCAATATGCGATGCAAAAACCTTAGCTTTTAGTGATTTATATAATAGATTAGATACTAATGAGGGAAAAAGATATATGTATAAGTTAGCCAAACAAAAAGATAAGAGTAGTAATGATTTAGTTCAAGTGAAGTGTATTAAGGATGAGATATTTTGCTAAACTTTTTAATGAAAATAAGATTGACTATAGTGACCTTAGCATCCTAAATGAAAATATAGATGTCTGTTTTTATCGGCGTATTAGTAAAACGAAGTTAGAGAGGCTTTAAAGAAAATGAAGGATGAAAAAGCTGTTGGACCTGATGATATTCCAATAAAGGTGTGGAAATGCTTAGGAGATGAAGGAATTTCTTGGCTTACTAAACTTTTTAATACTATTTTGAAGACTAAAAAGATGTCAGATGAGTGGAGAATGAGTGTGTTAATTCATATTTTTAAGAATAAAGATGATGCACAAGATTATGTGAATTATAGAGGAATTAAATTAATGTGTCATACTTTAAAACTATGGGAGCGAGTTATGGAGCATAGGTTGCGGCGTGATACTAATGTTTCTCAAAATCAATTTGGATTCATGCCGGGTAGGTCGACTATGGAAGCCATACATTTATTAAGAGGTTTGATGGAGAAATATAGAGAAAATAAGGAGGATCTACATATGATATTTATTGATTTAGAAAAAGCATAGATAAAGTTCCAAGAGAAGTGCTATGGAGAGTTCTTGAAAAGAAAGGAGTCAATAATGCTTATATTCAAATCATTAAAGATATGTATGCAGGAGCTATTACTTGTGTTCAAACACAAGGTGGATTGACCAAGTATTTTCCTATTTCGGTTGGATTACATCAAGGATCAGCCTTAAGCCCATATCTTTTTGCTTTAGTCATGTATGTTCTCACTAGACATTTGCAAGAGGATGTACCTTGGTGTATGCTTTTTGCTGATGATATTATTCTTGTTGATAAGACTAGAGAGGGAGTTGAAAGTAAAGTTGAATTATGGAGGTCAACATTAGAGACTAAAGGTTTTCGCTTGAGTAGATCTAAAACGGAATATATGGAGTATAATTTTAGTAGTAATAGACCTAGTGAGGGGATTGTGACTTTGGGCGATCAAGTCATTAATAAGAGTACACGTTTTAGATATCTTGGATCTATTGTTCAGAGTGATGGTGAAATTGATTGAGATATTATCAGCATAATTCAAGTTGGATGGTTGAAGTGGAGGAATGCATTGGGCTTGTTGTGTGATAGAAAAAATACCCCTCAACTTAAGGGAAAATTCTATAAGATGGTAGTGTGGCCTGCAATGCTTTATGGTGCTGAATGTTGGCCACTAAAAGAGAAGCATAATACTAAGCTAAGTGTGGCAGAGATGAGGATGCTCAGGTGGATGAGTGGTTTTACCCTTAGAGATAGGATACAAAATGAGCATATACGTGAAAAGGCTGGAGCAGCTCCAGTAGAAGATAAGATTAAAGAGAGTCGCCTTAGATGGTTTGGTCACATAAAACGGTGGCCTTCCAATGACCCGGTTAGGAGAGTAGAGGTATTAGATTTGACTTATGTTAAGAAAGGTAGAGGCAGACATAAAAAGACTTGGTTAGAAAATATTATGAATGACATTTCTTTATTAGATTTAAACGAGAATTTAACCTTTAATAGTACACAATTGAGAAAAAAGATTTATGTAGCCGACCCCACGTAGTGGGATAAAGGCTTGATGTTGTTGTTGTTGTTGTATAAGACATTACTCAAAGATTTTACCCTCATTTTGTGAAGACTTTATGATCTAAGGTCTAGTTTTCTATAGGTGCAAGACCTTTTAGTTAAGTATCCCTCCTACCAACGAGAGAAAACTTTCGATTAAGGCTAGTTGTTAGATAGGTGCTAAGTTCGCAACGTATAGTAGCAACAATTTTCAAGGTTTGAATTTGGGGTTTTATGCTTTTATCACCATATATTTAAAACTGATGGAGGAGGACTGATGATGAGCTCAATCAAAATTCCATGATTCATCACTTTAAACCGTTGTGGTCTCTAGTTTATTTAATCAGAGGAGATAGTGGACCTAATTTGATCAATAGATTCGTGTCGGCAGCCATGAGTTGCTTCATCTAGAGGTACCTTATAGACTTAGGGTGGATGTTTGTCTCAAGGTTTAGAGCCATTGCCAAATAAACTAGTTTTAGTCGTAATTGTAATTTAGTGGTACTATTTTGCGGCAAAACTATCCTGTCAAATGGTCCTAGTCATAACCATTTATTTGTGGTTTCATTTGAGGGCAAAACCATCAGTTAGAGGATGTGTGCTACATTCTTACTTGCGAGAGATTATTTGAAAATGAATCTTATCGATACACCAATTGAACATTCACTCTTTGTGAGCTGAAGTTATTCTCAAATTTATAGTTCTAGATAATTTATTGTGGAGGGTGGATAGATTTTTTGATGCGGACATCCAACCGTCCATGCCTATCCGAGGAGCTGAAGATCGACGACCGAGATCTCTTTGTTTTATTTTAGTTTATTAAGTATATTTTGATTTAATTTTGTAATTGCCCTTTTTTACCCTTTGTCTTATGTAAGCCCAAGGGGCAAATATGTCTTTTAATTTCTTTTGAGGCCTATATATAGAGGCTCATTCTCTTGTATTAGGTATGATGGAATTATAATAAAAAAAA